AGAGAAATCCTTGTTTCATTTTTAATGAAATGTATTATATTGCATTGGAAGATGTCATTTTCTTTGTATAAGTTACCTTCATGTATATTAAAAGAATCCTGCAAAACCACAATTCACAACTTGCAAGATATTGATTTTCTCAAAAATCTTCTTTTCCCCTTGTCTCTCTCTCCTCCAACTCCGCTTTATTTAGCATCTTTTTCACAAGATTCCGCCAACTTATCCTCTTCAAACCTGGCATGACACTGCACTGGATGTTAAAGCTCATTGTCAACTTTTATTTTTTCAGAAAACCATCAAAATAAAATTATTCTGTCTAAAGTATTTCTTGTTAATTTAAAAAAAAATGATAACTTGGTTCAGTAAATTGAATCAAGTGTTAAATTTAATAATTGATTAAATATTTAGTAAATACAAACTTTCAAGAATGCTTCTTTACTCCAACTGTTTATATCTTTGTTTCAATCCAGGAATAATATTATCACTTTGCAAGTGAACTTTTCTTCATTGACATTTTAAGAAAATGATTGGAAATGAGTTTGTGCTGATCAATTTAATGGGTGAATTGGCCTTGAAGATGCCATCTTCCCATTAAAATAATTACAGAATAATGTTATGAGCAATGCTTACCCTTGGATGTGTAGATGATGTAATGGATAGTAGCTTAGAATGAGAAATCAATGAGTCAAGCTCATTACATTCACTTACATGAAAATACCCTTAGGAAAGGTATGAATTTATCTCTTCTACCTATGGGTTAAATAGCAAGGCAGACTGAGATCTCTAGTTGTGATTGGCAACCAGTCTAAAAGGACAACTAAATTCCAAAGAGATAGCAATAGCTTAAGCAAGATCTCTATTATTCAACCAAAAAACAGCTCCTTGAATAAGGGCTATACAAGGATCCTATAATGGATTATGCAATGATTGCAATGTTATGAAGCATTGCTAGTATAATAAATGGGAATAAAAGAAATTTATTCTCTCTATAAAATGTACAAAATAATAAAATGCAATACTAATTACAGGTTACTACTTTAGTAGATATTAACATACAAAGATGCTACTTATTATCCACTATATGTTGATTACGAGTATCTGGGGGACAAACTTCCTTTCTTCAAGTCTGATCAGGCCATGCTGACACTCTCCTTCCTGTTTTTTCTCAGGCCAAAAAAAAAAAAAAAAAAAAAAATCTGTCTCCTGCTGATAACAGGAAACTTCTGGTTGGCTGTATCAATCATCTGACCAGCTAAACCTGGTAAATTTTTATTAGGATTGATTTTAACCCAACAAATTAATAACCATTAATTAATAATGAATCAGTTATGTAACATTTTCATTCTTTGAAACATTATTTAGATTTTTTTTTTTTTTTTTTAATCATTTCACCCCAAGCAAGGCAGGAATGCCACTAGTACATAGGGGTGGGGTTTACAGAGTGTGAAAATGAGAGAATAGACTGGGTATAGTGCAGATTGAAGAAAGGATAAAAGATGAACGGGAAAAACAGAAGATGGTGATTGACATTGCATTTAAATTAAATAGACTGTATTTATCAGGGAAGTAACTAAACAAAAGGGAGTTTCACAGGTGGGAAGTGCAGGAAAAGAAACTGTAGAAGTTGCAGTTATGTTTAACTATTTCAACAGTAAAAGGGTGGGACCTAGATTCCAATCTAGTAGCATGTAGTAGAAAAGCTTGTCAGAGCAGTTACCATGAAAATATTTGTAAAAAAGACAGAGGGAAGCCACATCGCGTTGGTAAAAATGTGACTCAAGTCCAGATGTCAAGTCAGGATCGACTACATTGGAGATCCATATTTGAGTTTTGTCAAGAACCCTGAGATGTACAGCAGGATCTCCAGACCAGATATGGCAACAATATTCAATACACAGACAAATGGTATATTTTTAAATATACAAGAGGGACGAGAAAAACCTTCTGGCATGACACAGTAACCCAACTTTCCTTGCAGTAGATGCAGCTATTGATTCAATGGAGTTATTCCACTTCAAGTCAAGTAGAAACAAGATTAATCCTATTCTAAAAGCCAAGGAATGCATCAGTTGAAACACTGTGACAAAAACAACAAAGATGAAGATACTAGTCTTAATACATGGAATAATAATATAAAAGAAAGTTATAAATTTTGAATCGGATTATCTATTGAGGCTTTTATAGTTATCAGATATTTTTTCTAATTAGCTGGAGAATTTAAAAAATAAGGAAAATATATAAAAATTCTGAAGACATAATCATTTAAAAATAGAATATATAATGAATCAAGCATAATTTAAAAAAAAAAAAAAAGTATATGATGAATCCAGATTTATTAAAAAAAATAATAATAAAATAGGATGAATCCAGAATTATAAAAACAAAAAAAAAGTAATACAAATGCAGAAGGATTGTACACTTATGTTTTATAGATTATGGAAAAGCATTTGACAAGTTATGGCACAAGGATCTATTTGAACTGCTAGTAAAACTAGATCTATTTGGAAAAAATGTTAGAATAATCCAGGACTTATACTGGGAGCCAACTGCCTGCATACAGATAGAAAATGAATTGAGTAGATACACGAAAGAGATGTGAAATAAGGATGTGTTTTCTCCCCAGATTTATTCAACTTCTATCCTAGGGGAAATGGAGACCCTCCCAGGATTTATTATCAGTGAACATAATCTTAACAGTATAAGATATGCAGATGATAGTGTCAATTACTGACTTGGAAAGAAAACGACAGGACTAGCCAAATTAGTAGAAAAAAGGACTAAGCATCAGCTGCAAGAAAATGTAAAGTATGGTCATTATTAAAAAAAGAAAAATAGGATATATGATATAGGACAAGTGAAAAACCCAAGATGTGAGTTATAAATTGGAGATATCAACATCAAACAAGTACAGGAGTTTAAATATATGAGAAGTGTTTTAACAGAAGATGGAAAATGGTGACACTGAGATCTGAACATGCATTGAATTAATGAAAGAACTATTCAAAAAACTAAGCAAAGTGCTAAGAAATGGAAGAATTTTGTTATAAACAAAAAAAAAATGTGCTCGATTGCAGTGTGTTATCCTTCCTCTTATATGGCAGTGAATGTTGGACAATCTTTCCACAGATGAGGAGAAAACTAAAGACAGCAGAAATGTGGTTCTACAGAAGGATACTGAAAATTCCATGGACAGTAAAATTAATAATAATAATAATAGTAAAAATATTAGAAACAAAGAAAAGAGTGCTGAATTGCTCTGCGTTATCCATCTTATATGGCAGTGAATGTTGGACAATCTTCCACGGATGAGGAGAAAACTAGAAGCAGCAGAAATGTGGTTGTACAGAAGGATACTGAAAATTCTATGGACAGAGTAAAATTAGTAATAATAATAATAGTAAAATATTAGAAACAAAGAAAAGAGTGCTGAATTGCTATGCGTTATCCATCTTATTATATGGCAGTGAATGTTGGACAATCTCTCCACGGATGAAAAGAAAACTAGAGGCAACAGAAATGTGGTTGTACAGAAGGATACTGAAAATTCTATGGACAGAGTAAAATTAGTAATAATAATTATAATAGTAAAAATATTATAAACTTTGTTTATAATATAAAGAGTGATGAATTGCTGTATGTTATCCATCTTATATGGCAGTGAATGCTGGACGATCTTTCTATGGATGAGGAGAAACCTAGAGGCAGCAGAAATCTTGTTCTACAGAAGGATACTGAAAATTCTATGGATGAAGAATTAAGCAAAAAGGAATTCTTAAAGAAAATGGCAACCGAAAGAATACTTCTACTTCAGGAGATGCATAATGAGGAAGGAGAGTTTGGAAAACTTAATCTTGGGACATATTGAGGGTAAGAGAAATAGGGGAAGGCAGCAAGTCACTTACCTGACAAGCATATGTGAATGGATGGTAGAACAGAAGGGAGAAGGTTTAGCAAAAATGAAAAACTGCTAAGAACTACAATGGATATGAAGTTGTGGAGAGCCATGATTGTCTCTGTCCTGAAAGAACATAACCCACATTAATAGAAAATGAAGACAGAATTATTTAAAAATTAGAAAATATATGAAGACTGAATTATTAAAAAAAAAATAGGATATATGATATAGGGCAAACTTGAACCTTCATTAATTTCCAATCAATTCAAACTTTATAAAATGGTAAATCAGGATTTCACTATAATTGGTTCACATATTTTGATAATTTAGTAAATGTTTATAAATTTATGAAAAAATTGTTTTCATAATTATTTCTTTAAAAATTAGTAAATAATAAATATTGCGTTTTATAAGTTTTTAGAATGTTGTAAATATAAAATTATTCTTGTAAATAAACAATCTAATAAATAAATAAATAAATAATGTTTAATATTTTTGTTGTAAATTCTCAATAACAAAAAGAAATGTATAAATTCTCTTTCATCATATGTTTAGGTTTTATTACAATTCTAATTATGTCTTTTTAAAACAATAATCATTGCTGAGGAATGAAGGTTGTTAAGATAATAGTGGGGGTCAAGGGAAAAACTGTTCATTTGTCACTCTGTTTTTTCTGCAGATATGAAGGTGCAAGTTTGCCAGATATATACAGAATTATTTTTTTTAAATATAGTATATGATGAAGACAGAATTATTTTAAAAATAGAATATATCCAATGAATTTTACTAGATGCTATTTTTTAGTTTTGTATTTAACAAGAAACCTTCAGCTTCATGATAGATTTTTGTAATGTGAACTCTAAAATGAAATATGTTGATAGATAAAGCACTTACATAGTTAAAATGATTTTGTGGTGGTTCTGAAGAAATCTTTGTTGACCAATGGAGCTTGAATGATTGTGTTGTGCTTGTATACTAACCATGTTCTGTCATCTTGTTTGTAGGCGGAGAATAAATTAAAGGAAGAGATTGATGCAAAACTGAAGAAGGTGAAAGAGGAATGGTCCTGAATAATCTGTTGCTCCTCTTCTCTCTTGTGTTCTAGGCAGAAAGTAAACTAAAGCGAGAATTTGAGGCTAAACAGGATATCCTGAATGGTGAATATTCAATGAAGAAAGTGAACAGCAAGGATCATGTGACTGCCTTATAACTGATAAAAATACAAAGTAGCACAAAGAAAAAAATCAGAAACTAAACAACATGCATATTTGGAACACAGCATTTTCTTTTCCTTCTTCCTTGCTTGAATGTTGTCATTTGGGCCTTTTTTTTCTTTTTTTTTAAAAAAAAAGGCCAACTTATTTTATTCTTGTTTCTCCTGTTATTGTTGAGTGAAACTTTCTACAAATCATGTTGAATAGCTGCTATAACTATTGGCAATGATGGCAGCAGCACCCACCTTTTCCAAGAAATTCGTTTTTAGGCACAGACCACAAATCAAGCTACAGTTGTAACTAGAGTTCTTATTAACAAACATCAAACAGGCTTTTTGTGATGTCACAAGATGAACATACATGCTTTTTAAAAATCAATGTGTTTATCCTAAACAAAGAACATTTTTTTTTAGGTTGAAGGTGAAAAAAAAGCTTTGATATAAAGAAAAGAACAACAAAATATTTGGAAATATTCTCAGCAAGATTCTGGTCTTTCAACTTTTTAGTATAGTTCAAATGTTTTATTTAAAGAACAAAAAAAAATGTCCTACCTGCTACTATTCTATATATTTATGACTGAATGCAACAACATTTTGAAAATTGACTATCCCCATTTGAATCATTTTTTTTTTAAAACCTCATTTATCATGGATATACAAGGATATGCTAAAAAGTTCTCAGCCCAACCCACTCTCCAAAATCTAAACAAATGACCAAATATCAGTATTTCTTTTGGAATTATTTCTTGGTTGGTCTGGGAACATTTCAACATCACCTTGTTGGAAAACTGAGCTGGTCTCGGTTGTTTTTTTTATAGACTAGATTAAATTATAAGATTTGCAATGATGTGCAGGTGTTTTTTCTGTATGAAGCATTCATATCAACCCACCAATTACTGTGATTTCAAATTACATTTTTTTTCATACACCTTTACTCAGTGCCTGACACAGTTTATATAAAATTTATATGAAAACCAATTTTTATAAAGATTTGCATTAATATCAGCAAGCTGTCTCCCACTTCATTGACCTGCACCTGTCTAAGTGACCCAAGAAGTGTTGCCAATTTTTGTTAGAAAATTATTAGAAAATAACTGTTTTTGGAGACTTTAAAAAGGTGAATTAAAATATATATCAAAGACATTTAAATGGACTTGTCCTATTTTGTAGATATTTTAAAAAACAAAAATTTGTCAAGAGCCTCACCATGATTCAAAGTTGCCTCCCTTTGTTATCGTTCATCAGAAATTTATTAAAATTCTGTATTATTTTTACTCATAGCAATCTGATGAGAAGAGAATATGTTGAATATCAGCTACTTTGGAGTTACCAAATAACAGATCTCTGCATGAAATTACTTCCCTTGTGTCCCTTATTTGAACCCCACCGATCTGTAAACTCCATGTCTCATTTCATGTTATTACTACTCTTTTCAAAGTATTTTTATTTTTGGTTCTAACATGATTTGTTATCCTTTTGATTATAGCACTTGAGTAAATTCCTCTTGCATTTCCTTCATCCTTCTTTTGGAGGAAATTTCCCTTAGAGTCCTACCTCTTGAATAAAATTCCCCTTACAATCCTTTGTCCTTCCTCTTGGGGAGAAATTCCTTTTCGGGTGAAGTTCCCCTTGCAGTCCTTTTCGCTGCTGGCAGCTGCTCTTCTCAATCAATCATTTTGGCTTCCTGAAAACTGATGGATAATTACTGTTCTGTCAGCTTTTCTTTTAGATAGAATATTTACAACTTTTTTTGACAAAAGAGACACTAATCAGAATTGAAAACCTAATCATTTGCTAGCAAATAAAATATTCAACACAAATGATTGCAAATTTGATATTTTATAAATTCAATTTTTTATGCCAACGAATAACACACAGTGGATGCTTAAACTTGCTTGGAGAAAGAAGTGTTCTTTTGAAACACAGACTTTTATGTGCATAAGTTAAAAACAATGTCTTTTTTATTCACAATGACAATCACTAACACATGGACAAGAAAGTAAATTGGATAGATGTGAAAAAATTTAGATATGAAGAGACAGAGAGATAAATCTGAACAAAGTTTAGCCTAGTCTGATACAGAGCTAAATGGAAAAGGAGGAAACTTGTGTTGTAGCAAACATTCAAACAAGAAGAGCTTTCTCACTTTAAAAAAGCAACCTTCAAAATTCAGACTTTTCCTTGAGCTCATGCACTGACTCTGGGTGTTAACTGGGAATAGACAAACATTTTTTTGTCTCTAGAGTGGGCCAGGCCTAATTTCTTTCAATCTCATTTTATATATATATATATATATATATATATATATAAAATAAAAGGCTTCACCAGTAATCAGTTTTATAACCTCCCACCAACACCAAAAAGCAAAAGTTGATTGGATTGAGAATTTGGTATTGTGATAATCTTCTCTGTAATCTCGACTTATCGTCGTTGTTGGAAGCATTAAATTGTTCCACATTTAGCTGAACAACATTTGAGAAATTGTTTTGCATATAGAATATATGTATGATGTACCAACTGCAAAAATTTCTCTTCCAATATTAAAGAGGTAAAAAAAAACTGTTTCATTTAGATTTGGGGCTTTGAATTCTCAATGTCTCTTTATGGACAAATGTTATCTCCAATGGCAGAGACTAGCTCATGATGGTTGAAGGAAGAAAAGTATTTTGAGGGTGACAAAAGCTTTTATTTGACCAGAAAAAATAAAATTGACTTTTTTCAAAACAGTAACTTTTAATCAAATGTTATCCATAACGTTTAATTTCTTTTTCTCCTTTATTCCTATCAGTTCAAGATCTCAGAAAAAAAATATGTTCCTCACTTTTCACACTCCTTTAAAGTGTTATTTAATTTTAAAGAAAAGTTAGTTTACTTTAGAAAATTAATTTGAATTTCTGGGACAAGGTGTTATTATTTTGTTGTTATTATCACATCTCAGCCATCAAACTCTTTGGACTTCTTCAGCTGTCTCTCAATCTAGATAACCTACAGGAAATTTTCAATTGAAGCTTTTATTTAGTCTACAAGATATTCCGAGGCATGGGGTATGGAACAAGAACAATCTACTCCCATAGATTAAATAAAGGATTCAGTTTAAAATTCACTGAATGTTACACAAATCAACCAACACCTGAAGAAGGCTAGAGGGCACAAGAGTTGAAATGTTGCCATGGTAACAATGAAAATGAGAATATTAGTCCAAATTTTAACAATAATCTAACCTCAAATAAAAACTTTTATGTATAAATATTTTTATTAGCTTTTTCAAAATGCTTTATAACATTTTCCAATTTTTTGTTGATTTTTTCATTATAAAGAGCAAGGCTTTTTTTTTTCTATTATCAGATCAAAACAAAAGAGAATCTCTGAATAAAAGATATCAATCAGCCTTATTTACTAAACAATAAAAGTCTATTTTTAGTAATAGAAAAAATCTCCAAAAATTCTAAGCATTCTTAAATGTTGTAAGAGTTGATAAATTATTATAGTTGTATAGATTGAATCTATTTGTTTTACTACCATTCCAGCTGCCCAATCAGATTTCCAATCTTGGGTGGGATTTTTATTGAGTCTGAAAAGTTTACCCTCTGCCCAATTTTTTTTTTTTTTTCCATAAAAGATTAAAACTTAAATATTAATCAAAAAATTAAAGCCAGTTTGAAGACATCAAGATTATTTTTGTGCAATATAAATTTAGGGTTTTACTTTTTCTGTTTTTATTTTTTCTAGCCACCCCCTACTTCATGTTTGATAAATATTTATGAACAAGAAAGGTCAATAATTTATTTAACCCAAAATATTTTAAAACGTTTTACATTTCTTCCATATTTTTTTATGATGTTTTAAAAAAAATTATTTATGTTGTCTTGTATTTTTTTTCCTAACTTAAATTCATTTTTAATTTCTTTTTTCTTCAATTCTTAAGATTTAAGCTTTTCTCTAGAGAATCTCTGAATCTCACTTTAAAAGTTTTGACAAGGCTGTTAATCTGTTATTAAATCCAGTCCATTAAATTTGACCATTACTCATTTATCTTTTCAAAGCACGATTTGTTCACCTCACTGATATTTTGTGAAGAGAAAAATCAAAGATGGCAGTGGTGACATCTTTTGAATGCCTCAGAGCAAAGCCAAAGCCAAAATCTGATTTCAGCCATTCAGTTGACTTGTAAAATCTCTGCCCTCAGATAACAAGCGAGTTAATGTTTTTTTTGGAAAACTAGAACAAATCTTAAATGAGTGGCTGACACAATATCTCTAGTTTAGAAATGTGTTATATATATATATATATATATATATATATATATTTTCATGCATGTGTCTAGCAAAACAATTGTGTAATCAGAAAGTAAAATGTTTTTTTCCTAGGAATCAATATGAGTAAATATTTGATAATAGTTTACTATTACTACTATGTGTGTGTGTATGTATTTATATTGATGAGTGTGTGTATGCATGTGTTGTTTTTTATTTTGTATGTTTTTTTTTTTTGTTTTTTTTAACATTTGATCAAATCTTGTTAAAAGCATTAATCTGTGCAAATGTTTGTTTGAATTCTGTCAAATTGCATTTCTCAACTGAAGAATAAACACTCTTCACATTTCTGCTTTGTTTATTGTCATTCAGCTTCTGGGAATTATTTGTTGTTTTGATCACAGCATTTCAGCCTTCCTGCAGCATCTGATCCATCCAGCAATCTCTTTTCTTGTTCACCTATTAGTTCCCTAATTGTCACCCCTCCAATCTTATTGGAATTGTTTAAAGACCCAAGACAAATGAATCATTACACATAAAAACATGTAAAGGTTTCCATTAGAAAAGATTTGAATCTCTTGAATTTTCTAAGAAATGGAAGCATGTACAAGGGATATTTGTTGTTCAGATCTGTGATATGTTTATTTTGGAATGGTATTAAACATTTGTCCCTCTTCTACGTGCCATGTCCCTTCAGAACAGGTGATCATGGCTCTCCACAACTTTCTATCTCATTCTTAGCCA